TGGGCTACTCTCTTCGAGACGGTAAGAGATGGCTGACGGCGGCCAGGAAACGAACCATCACCCAGATTCCACCCCCACAAGATCGTAGGGGTCTTCGGGAGTTCTTGGGCACTGCAGGATTCTGCCGATTGTGGATACCGGGGTTCACGGCCCTGGCGGCTCCCTTATATCCCCTTTTAAAGGACAATGTTAACTTCACCTGGGGGCAAAACCAGCAAACCGCCTTTGATCTCATCAAAAGGGCGCTGTTATCAGCCCCGGTGTTGGCACTCCCCGACGACGTTGAAAAACCCTTCACCCTCTATGTCGATGAGAAGGAGGGAGTGGCCAAGGGGGTGTTGACACAATCCTTGGTCCCCTGGAAAAGGCCGGTGGCCTACCTCTCCAAGAGGTTGGGCTCAGTCTCCAGAGGTTGGCCAGGGTGCCTCCGAGCAATTGCCACCATGGCCGCCATGGCCGTCCTGGTTAAGGATGCTGACAAGCTTACCTTGGGTCAGAAATTGACTATCATAGCCCCCCATGCGTTGGAGAGTGTAATTAGGCAGCCCCCTGACCCGTGGCTGTCGAACGCTCGCATGACTCACTATCAGAGCCTCCTGCTGGATAAAGACAGAATTACTTTCGGCTCCCCAGCCATTTTAAATCCTGCTATGCTATTACCTACAGAGGGGGAAGACGATGTCCTCAATCAATGTGAGGAAATCCTCGCCGAGGAAGCTGGGATTCGAGAGACCTACGGGACACTCCGCTGCCCCAATCCGACTGTATTTGGTACACTGATGGCAGCAGTTTTCTACATAACGAGGAACATAGGGCTGGGGCAGCTGTAGTGGATAAGGACAAAGTGATCTGGTCGAGTCCGCTAGTCTCGGGAACATCAGCCCAAAAGGCAGAACTCACAGCATTGACAAAGGCCCCACAGCTAGCTGAGGGAAAACGGGCCACCATATACACAGACAGTAGATATGCGTTCGCCACTACACATGTACACGGGGCGATATACAAGGAGAGAGGTCTGCTTACCTCTGCAGGCAAGGACATTAAGCACAAGCAGGAGATTTTGGCCCTCCTAGATGCTGTCATGCTTCCGCGGGAATTAGCCATTGTTCATTGTCCAGGACACCAACAGGGACAAGACCCTGTGGCACAGGGAAACCGGAGAGCGGATGCTGAAGCCCACGCAGCGGCCATGAGAACTAATATCCTTGTGGCAGGAACAGGGACAGAAACAGAACCTTCTTCCACTCCAACCCCGCTGGAAGAGCCAAAGGATTTGCAGATTTTCCTGGAAACGGCTCATCGTCTCACCCATCTCGGAGCTGACAAACTAGTACAGTTGCTAAGAGACGATGACACCAATACCCCCTCAGGAAAACGACAGCTGGCAAAGAAAGTGGTTGCGGAGTGTCACGCCTGTCAACTAGTGAACGCATACCTGACAAAAGGACTTCATGGGACCCGGCTCCGGGGCTCCAGGCCCGGCCAGTATTGGGAAGTGGACTTCACTGAGGTGCAACCTACCAAGTATGGGTTTAAATATCTCCTGGTTTTTGTAGATACTTTTTCAGGTTGGGTTGAGGCATTTCCTACTAAGCACGAAACAGCGGTAATAGTGGCCAAGAAGATTCTGGAAGAGATTTTTCCGAGGTTTGGACTGCCAAAGGTAATTGGGTCTGACAATGGACCGGCGTTCGTGGCCCAGGTGAGTCAAAAGATAGCAAAATTACTGGGGATTAATTGGAAATTGCACTGTGCATATAGACCCCAGAGTTCAGGACAGGTACAAAAGATGAATAGGACGATCAAGGAGACCTTAACTAAATTGGTCCTAGAGACTGGCCATAAAGACTGGGTCATGCTCCTGCCATATGCTCTCTTCCGGGCTCGTAACACTCCTTCTGCTCAAACTAACCTGACCCCTTTTGAAATTCTCTTTGGGACCCCACCTCCCATTCGAGACCTGTCCTCCTCTGATATGTTTATTCCCAATACTGCCTTATCTGCCCGACTACAGGCCCTCGTTCGAGTCCAACATTGCCTGTGGAAACAACTATCTGACCTCTATCAGCCCACAGGAGACGGGTCCCCTCATCGGTTCCAGGTCGGTGACTTTGTCTACGTCCGGCGACATCAGCACCGAACGCTCGAGCCTCGCTGGAAGGGCCCCTACCAGGTTCTCCTTGTGACCCCCACTGCTGTCAAGGTTGAAGGCGTTGCCGCGTGGATTCATGCATCTCATCTTAAGCCTGCACCCCCCCCTGATGACACCTGGACTGTCGAGAAAACTGCTAACCCCCTCAAGCTGCGTGTCAGTCACCAGGACACTAATATGGACACTGGTCTACTGGACATCGGTTCTGGGAAATGAGGCACATACTCCGATCCAGGTAACATGGAGCATTCTGGATGAAACCGGGGAGCTCATCAACAGCACTACAGGCAGTCACCCACCCTGGACTTGGTGGCCCTCTATCGAGGTACCTATCCCACGGCTGATCTTAGATCCTAGGCTACAGCATGGTAATTACGGGTTCTTTATGTGCCCAGGATATTTGCAAAATTATAAAACATGTGGGGGGGCCTCCTATTATTATTGTAACTCCTGGAGTTGTGTTTCTAACAATGATGGACCTCGCAAGTGGACGTCTCCTGTTAAGACGGACCTACTGCGAGCTGTCCTCACTGTTCCGAACATGCCAAGTGGGAGACCATGTACACCTTGTAAAATCCGGCTGTCGTTCACTGAAACAGGAAAACTAGACCGCAGGTGGAGGTCAGGCCTCAGCTGGGGAATTCAACAAAATGCGTTGCCCTACCCCGGAGGGATCTTTTATGTCAAGGTTAGCCATGAACCCCTCATTGACCGAGCCATAGGCCCTAATCCTGTACTCGCACCCAAGAAACCTACTCCACCTAGTTCTTACACTCCCAGGACACCTTCAAATCCCCCTGGATCTTCACCTACTTTCAGTTCAGCTCCTTTAGCAGACCCCCTGTGGCAGTTAATGACTATTACTTACAAAGTCCTAAACTCTACCTCCCCAGACCTCACTAACTCCTGCTGGCTCTGCTTCCAGGCCCAGCCCCCATACTATGATGCTAACGCCCTGTTTTACAACTCCACAGTCCCCTTAGCTGGGGAAAAACAACAAAGGTGCAGATGGGAAAGGGCGACCTCTACGGGCATCACCCTGCAGTCTGTCCAGGGCCGCGGGACATGTCTTGCAGCCAGCGTTTCTCTCGCTAGCACCCTTTCATGTAGCCAAACCCTTTCCAGCAACTCCTCCCTGTACTACCCTGCCCCCAATGACACTTGGTGGGTATGTGGCAAAACTGGGGTCACCTCATGTATATCGGGCACTGTGTTAACCAGTACCAAGGATTGGTGTCTCCTGGTAAGGCTCTACCCTCGGGTCATCTACCACCCACAAAATGATTTTCTGACCAAAATAGAACCTGCCCAGTCTCCTCAGAGGACAGTCCGAGCAGTGGGAGCCCTTGTGACTATAGCATCCCTACTGGGAGCGGCCGGAGCAGGAATTGGGGGAACTGCTCTTGTCCCACAAGATAGTCAGTTCCATAGCCTGAGAAGAGCTATAGATGAAGATCTAGAAAGAATTGAAAAATCCATCTTCAGCCTCGAAAAGTCCCTCAGTTCGCTCTCTGAGGTAGTATTGCAAAACCATAGGGGACTCGACCTGCTCTATCTACAGCAAGGAGGCCTGTGTGCGGTTTTGGGTGAGGAGTGCTGTTTCTATGCTGATCACACAGGCGTAGTGCGCAATTCCATGGCTAAAGTGCGGGAGGGCCTTGCCAAACGTAAAAAGGAACGGGAAGCTCGTGAGTCCTGGTTTGAATCTTGGTTTAACAGTTCCCCATGGCTGACGACCCTCATCTCCACCCTAGCAGGGCCGCTCATAGTGTTGCTTCTGGTCATTACAATTGGGCCTTGTGTCTTAAATCATCTCACCGCCTTTCTCCAAGGGCAGATTGGGGCCGTAAAACTCATGATCATGCATCAACAATATGTAAAGTTAAATCAAGGCACGGATCTCTAGGATTAAAGATGTGCACAAGAGAAAGGGGTGGAATGTAAAAACGTGGAAGTTGAGGAGGTTTTTCTGTGACCAAGCTCGACTTCTTCAGCAGGGAAGAATTCCCTTTTGACCAGAAAGATAACTGCCTCTCGGAAAAATGGCGACATCTGGTCGCCGTCCTAAAAACCATTGTAACTTCCTCGTTCCATGCCTCTGAAATGTACCCCCTCCCTTCCCTAAAATACTGTTTAAAAACTGCTCACTGAAGTAGCTCGGGGCTCTTGGCCTCCCTCTCACCTCGAGCCCGCTCGTGAGTGTATTAAATTCTTTTCATTTTTCTGCAGTTCTGAATTTTTGAGTCTTTGTCGGTCTCTCAGTTCTAACTCTTTTCAATACCCCTTTTAGTGGAGTGGGGAATGGGATCAAAAGGGGGGAGGGAAATGCACGGGACTATAGTGATGGCACACTGGTGACTTGGTGATGGGAAACCCACGGGGATTACAATTGAGATGGAAAAAAAAATGTACAAAATGATGTAAAAATAAACTTTTGTAAAATAAAAAAAAAAAAAGAGATACCCCTTTTACCACATTCTTACCAGCAGTTGTTTCTGGTCTGTTTTGTTTACTTGTTTTTAATATGGGCTATTCTCACAGGGGTGAAGCAGTATTCATTATGGTATTCATCTGCATTTCCCTGATAATAAGTGCTGTTCAACATTTTTTATATGCCTGTTGGCAGTATGGCCATGTTAATGTTATTTCTGCAATCCATGAACAGAGGATATCTTTCCATTTCTTTGTATCTTTTATTTCCTATAATAGAACTTTACAGTTTTTAGTATGCAGCTCCTTCACCACTTTGTTGAATTATCTCCCACTTATCTCATTCTTTCTGGTGTGATTGTAAATGGGATTTTATCCCTGACTTCCCTTTCTCTTTGTATGTTGTTTGCATATAGAAATGCACTGATTGTTCTGTATTGATTTTGCATCCTGCCGTTGCGCTATGTATGTTTATTATTTATAGAATTTTTTTTTAAAGATTCTTTTGGCTTCTCTAAATATATTAGCTTGTCACCTTTGAATAGTAGCAATTTCATCTCTTTTCCAATTTTGGATTAATTTTGTGTCTTTTTCTTGCCTAATTGCTTCAGCTAAGATTTCCATGATTATGTTAAAAAAGTGGTGATAGGGCCCTGCAGCTGGTTAAAGCCCAGCACTAAGAAGTTAAAGCCACTTCAGCATGAGTTAGATCTCTGCCCCAGAGGTGATCCACATGGCACTGCAGACCTCTTCTGACCCACCTGCTGCTCCCCTTAGCTGTGTCCTTAGACCTCTGGCCTGTTCTGCCCTCCCCCCCACTCTGTCTCTGGTGAATCCTCTCGCTGCCCCTGCACCTCTGGCCTGCTCCTGATCTTACTGGAATGCTTTCACCTTTTCACTATTGAAAATTCATATATACAGGTTTTATGTATGCATTTGCTATATATGGGTTTTTAATGTTTACAAAAATTCCATTTATTGTCATTTTTAATTTTAGTTTCTTTTTTTTAATCGGAAAATCATGTTAGAGTTCATCAGGCTTTTACTGCATCTATTAAGATAATAATAATAATATTTCTGTGTTCCTGTGTGTTCATCTGATGACTGACATTGATTGATTTGTGTACATTGGCCAGCCCTGCGTTCTTAGGAAGCACACTCGATTCCGGTAGATAGTTCTCTTGACATGTTGCTTTATTCAGTTTGCTAGGATCTTGTTGAGTATTTTTTGAACTATGTTCATAAGGAAATGGTCTTTTTTTTCTAACTGTCATTGTTTTTAGGATCAGGGATGTAAGGGCAATGGGTGAGGAGGTGAAGGTTAGGGTTAGGTTAGAGTGTATGCAGATAAATCAAAGAGGGGAGAAATACTCGAAAGGATTTGACAGTTAATTATAAATAGGTATGGTTGAAGAAGGAATCAAAGATCCCTTCAAGGTTTTTCATTTTAGTAACAGGTTGAAATAAATA